TCTAAGAGACAGATGATTTACATAATTTTTCTGCTTCTGTGGAAAGAGAAGAAATGCTGCTACACTATTCTGTTATGGCTGTAATTTTTGCATTTACCTGTATTTTGGAAAGTTAGTTTCCAGTTTTCTGAGATGCATTTCTCAGAAAATAATGTTTTTGAAGATGACTCCAATAGAAGTGATGCTGCTGTCCATGAAAAGGTTCCTTCTGGAATCTTGGTGAGTTTGATAGATTTATTGCTAAGTATGGGTATGTAATTTCCTGTAGCACAGTTTAAAATTATGAAAATTGACCACCTATATTTAATAGTATAGTGGAAGACTTTACTTAGGCATTCAACACTTACTTTGTTTCCCATTTTTGTTCCATAAGTGCTCTGTGCAGTACTAGGAGGAATCCTAAAACCTCAATTAAAATCTTTACTTAGGAGCAAAGAGGTTTTTGTTGAGTAGACCTGATGCTACTCTTTGACAGAGTCATTTTTCCCCTCAGTCTTTTCTCGGTACAAAATAGAAACTAGTAAAACACTTGCTAAAGATTTTCTCTGCTTAAGGAAAGCTTCTGCCTCATAAATCTATATACATGCAAATATAGGCAAAATGAGATAGGTTGAGGTAAAGCACTGCTATGCATGGCTTTTATTTTGTTTTTCTACCTAAGCTCTTGAAACAAATACAACTTCTTTACTGTGTACATCATGTGGCATTAGACTATGTTTTAATCCTCTAAGTGTATCTCAAAATAAATGGGATGTATGAATATCTACTTAAATGCAGCTAACATCTGCATTTAAGTAACTTTTTTTTGGCAGTGATTGTTAAAATTCATGCCCTCTAAAACTGTGGCTCTGTAGAGCAATCTGATAGCTTGCCTTTGAGTAACTTGCACTCTTCTTTTTCTGTTGTGGAACTAGAGATTTGTAGTATTCATGTTCATATGGGTGCACTTGTATAAAAGGGGTTGGCGTTAAGAACACAAAAACTGCAGATCACCATTACTAAAGCGGTACTCTAAGTGCACAGAAAACACAAATTTGTGGACAGGCTTTTGATTATATCTTGCCCTTGTATATGTATATTACTGAATAACATTAAAAAATTCTTGAAGACAACATGTTGGTCCTGGGGCAGCCAAAATAACATCTTTGTTAATGGTACAGAAATATAATTCCTATCCACAAAACCTCTCGCTCAGGTTATGCTAATGTAAGCATTTCCTGGTAATGAGTTTTGAAAATTCAGCTGTCTGTCATGTTGGGCATGTTAGATGCTTACTCTTAGGTGGAGTACTGTTTAATCATAATTTCTGAGAGCCATTCTATTCCTCATTGCTGTAACATGAAGAAGTCAACCAGCATATGCAGGGTTAATTTTAGTTTAACTGATTCGAGTATTTTGTAGATGAAGGAATAGAATTTTAATTATCGAACTTTTGAAGTAGATATTTTCTTGGTTTGCTTTTAGTTTTATGCTCTCAGAAAAAGAAAGACAAAAAACCAAAGCAGTTTCATTTTCTGCCTTTTGCAGTGTAATGGCTTCTGGCCAGAAAAAAAATATTTTTATGATATGACAGAGAGATTCCTTTTCCCATTCCAATTACAGCTGCATTTGGGTTAGTAGTATTAACATATTCAGCTATTAGAATTTTTGCACACTAGGTAGTATTGCCTAAACATTCAAAAACCAATCTCTCTGGAGCCTCAGAAATCACAAAGAGTGTTTGTATGCTTTAAGACCTCTGGCATTCATAGCCTTTTAATTTACTATCGAAGAAGAATAAGTAGTAGTGAGCTGCATTAACTTTAGCTTTTATTCAGAGTTCTGAATTTGACTGCATCAGGCAGTGTATAGACTCTGGATGCCAAAAGAAATAAAACTTAAAAGCTAAACAGTATTGTGAAGTACTACTGCATTGCCCTTTCTTAACTTGTCTTTTCCATCAGGCTTCTGTCTTGAATTTCAGAACTGGAAATTCTTTTTAGGTTCTTGCAGCAGGTTATGAAGGCATACTGCTCTCTGCTTTCAAGGGAACATTTAAGAAATTTTTATTAAGCATGAAATAAATAGTGTTATCAAGGAGATACTTTGTCTTCCTAGTTATTCTGTGATCAGGCTATTTCTATTGCATTTCCAAGAATTAACACAATAACGCTTTACACTTTTCTTCTCTATAGTCAGATTCAGTACTGCTCACCACAACTTTTCCAACAATATACAATAAAATTTAAGAAAAACAAACCCAAACCAAATTCTACCCCCCAAATTTTAAAATCTGCCAGCTGGAGCTCTGTTGACATTTGAGATAAAATCACCTGTTTCTCAGATATGTCACGACACTTCATTTCTATTGGATCATTTTCTTGTTACAGTTTGAACCTTCTTATATAACATGTTTATCTTGCAAAGTGAACCATTATGTTAAAAGCTGAACTGCAACGTGATAAGCAATAATGTACATTAGTTTATTACCTTTATCCACAATTTTGTTTACTTACCATGTACAAAACAATGTTTGCATTAAGACTTGGATCATAAAAAGCTTCTTTCCTAATAAGAAATATTTTTAATACTCAGTAGGTTCAAAAGTTCATGACTTTTTCACATGTAAGAGTGAAATAGTTATGAACTTTCGCATGTAAGAAGTTATTTAGTTTATATATGATCAGAAAAGTGGCTGTGCTGTGAGCTACAGCATTGTAACTGATATCTGCAGAAGAGATAATATCGCTACAGAATATTCTTGCTACAGGAAAGCAAGAAGATATGTAAAATGGCTGAATACTTTGGTCTTGTGTAGGTTTTTCGGTCATTTTCTGTGATTAGACGAGGTCAGTTAGCATATATGTGAGAAACAACTAGATTATTTATCATCCAAACTCATTTCTTGGCAGATGGTGTGAAATTATGATCTTTTTAAAAGTCGCTACTAAAATCATAGAGAATTCCTTGCTAATGCCCACTTCTCAAATCCTGTTCATTGACATGAAATATATAGAATGGAGATTCTATTAAGGACTTTTATTCCTGATTGTGTCAAACATTTCCTTTAACAAATTCAGTCTCTTGGATGACATGAAATCAACTTTTCTTTGTAAGCTAATACCATAGATCGCTCTTGGAAGAGGCCAAGATGTAGCCATGAATGATTAATGACAGTGTGTTAGAGAATTTTTTCATAAGATTGAGATTAAAGATGACTGTCATTTGGGGGGAAAATTAATTGCTTAAACAGTAAAATAGAGATATTGCTACCTCTCTGTCTTGGGTTACAGTTTCATAGATGCAGCAAATGCCTTACTCGTCAAAAGGAAGACGTTCAGTTCCCTGCCTCAGCCTCCTTTTTTTTTCTAGCTTTGTGGTGCTCTGTGCTTCACGACTCTGGTGTTAGTCACGTTCTTCTTTGTGAGCTAATCTAATTTATTAACCCACTGAAACAAACAGCACCAAAAAAAAAACAAAACCACACAACGACAAAAAAAACCCACGCAAAAAAGCCAACCAAACAAAAAGGTAGACTTCTGCCAGTTGTGCTGGTGAGCTTGGTGAGCTAAAATCAGCTCATTAAGAGGGTTAGATGAGTAAAGGTTGAAGTGAGACCTTCCCTTTTTAGCAAATGAGCTATTACTTCACTAGCAAGCCATCAATTTTTATAGTTGCACATGAAGCTACTTAGAGATGAAATTGAATTAATGACTGATGTTGATAGAGAGTCCATCCTGCTAATCACATTAGTCACTCAATGGCAGTCTGTTCTTTTTATCTTCATTAACCCTATTGTACAAAAGCTGTGGGAGAAAAATTCTCTAGCATGTTTCCTAGCATAATCATTCTGTGGATAGTTTTAAAACAGTTTTAAATCTGTATTGGAAAACCTCCACCTTACTTTGTAAATCTTGTGAAGAGGAAGGAATTTTTTTTTTTTTTTCAAAAATATAAATATGACTGGGTAGTGTATGAGGAGCCTGAGATGGAGAAAAATACTTCTGGAGCTGCTCTAAGTCTGTGAAAGTAGTTTTAGGTTTCTTGCATGTTTACAATCATATTGGTACTGTTAGATGCCACAAAAGTGAATTCCTTTTGAGTGAGTGCAAAATATCCTGCTTTACTGCAAGGAAGACTCTGAAGGCTCAGAACAGAAATAATTGATTAATTACCTGCATAATGAAAACAGTATCAGTAGGAAGAACTCTTGTAATGCAGTACAATTTTGTTTAGAGACATTAAGAAAAATCCTAAACCTTGTTCAAAGACTAATAAAAATAGAATAGCATATCTATGGTGAGTTTCTATTTTTTTTCTTAGACATATTATCCCAAAATAGACTTTTTACAATTTGAGTCCTGATATGTGTTCAGCATTTTGTGTCTTGCTTGTTGGCAGTGGCTCTGTGTTCTCCCAAATAATATCCTTAACTTTCGCAGGCATGGAGTTGCTTGGAAGTTTTTGAAATAAACTTTTGAGTGAGAGGCAGGAGATGGTAGAATGAGGAAGCGTTGCACTCAGGTTTCTATTAGAACATTTTCACCATTTTCCCTCCTCTTTTATTAAAACTCTGATGTTCTGAGAAGTCTTTAGACTTTTCCTTTCTTACTGACAGAGTTCACATTGTATTCTTATTCTGAAAGACCTGCACTCGGTCAGAATTCATTCATTTACTGAAGTATTTTTAATGGATTAAACAGAATATTCAGTAAATGATTTTGTGCTCTTGTTTATCCTGTTTGACTATAGCATAATATTGTTAATGTGTATCTCCTCTCTCTCATTACATATTTTGATAATTTCTCCAAGGTGACTCAGCTGTTTTTAAAATACAGAGCTGTAAAGGAAGAGCTACATGCAGTATGCTCTACATAAGTTTTCCTGACTTCTAAGATTTTTTCACATCCTTATGTACAGTTACCTCCATTTTCAATAAAGGATCAGTTGTATTAATTAGGCAGTCCTCAGAGAATGAATTTTTCGTTTTAGCTTATCTGAGTTATTAACTTATCTGAGCAACACCTCTAATCTTTGAGGTCTAAAAATGACTCAGTTCAATTAATCACAGATTCAAGTTGATAAACTATTAAGAATAAGATTTATAGCTCTGGAGACTTTTGCTAATAAAAGAATTGTTTCAAAGTTCTGTTGACTCTTGAAGACATTCATGTAAAGCTTGTTACAATAGTCAGAGTAATTGATAAATGACGTTGCACATTTATTTAAATGTTTTTTAAAAATCAATTTCAAAAAAATTTTAATGTGTTTTAAATGTACTTACTTTTTTTTCTTTCTTTCTCTTCCATAGTCTCAGACTATGAACTACGTAGGACAACTTGCAGGGCAAGTCCTGGTTACTGTGAAGGAGCTGTACAAAGGCATTAATCAGGCAACCCTTTCAGGATGCATTGATGTCATTGTGGTCCGGCAACAGGATGGTACATTCCAGTGTTCTCCTTTCCATGTCCGATTTGGGAAGCTTGGTGTATTGCGCTCTAAAGAAAAAGTGGTAAGTTCAGAAAGTGGGCCAAAACAAAGTTTTGAACACCAGTGCATTCTCTTTTTTCCCCTCTTTCTTTCTTCCCCATCTCCCCACGTTCCCAGTTGGAAGACCAATTTAGGACAGAGCAGTTGCTCATATATGCAGTATAGAGTGGTAGTTTTGGAATGCAAAACAGAACTTCTTGTGGTAATCCAAGGACTGTGCAAAAAATACTGTGAAAGAAAAGCTTTGACAGCTCTGGAGCTTTGGAGAAAGACTAATACAAACATATAGACTTCACAGTCTTAAAATGTTTACATGAAGCTATTTATTTACTTATTTAAGTATGCTGGGAAAGAAATGCTTAATGCTATTTAACTAATTCCTGGTGTAGGCAACCCTTTTTGGAATGTCTGAGGGACATATAGAGCATATGTTTAAGTGTTGGTGATCCATCATAAATATTGCTCCTTGTTAGCTTTTTTCAAGGCTGTTATGCAGTAGAAAATGCAGTTATTAATATCTGCAAGGAATTAAAAAAAGGGACTGAAACTTCATTCCTGTGGGCGTGTTTGAAAAAGAACCTGGTACAATTTCCTGCCCAGCCAGCCTGAGTTGGTGGTGCTACTTGAGCAGATTGTCCTGCCATCCCTTTCCCATAGGCTTTGTTAGTCAGGGAGTGAGTTGGATTAGGTTGTAAATTTGACTGGAAAACGGACCTGTTGTGGGGGAACTTTACATTACTGTCAGTAGAGAATACTGTGTATGGCAGTGTGGCATGTGGGTGTACTACCAAAACATGGATTGATTTGAGCAGAACATAAAACTGCAGGATTATATGCTGCTATTTTAAGTAGTTAATGGCCGTTCCAGGAAGCTACCCCCATTTTTATATTTTGGTTGCAAAAGGAGAATAAAGTGAAACTAAGAGTGGGTTTTTTGTTAGTGGTCAATACTGGGAGTTACACACATTAAAGTTGTACCTTTATCATAGTAACACAGGCTAGTATAAGGTTTTATGTTTAATTTATTTTTTGATTTCATAAAGAAGAGAAAGTAAAGTAGCTGTACATTGGTTTTAGAAAGACATTTGTTTTTTCTTTTGTTTCACACATGTGGCGAAGAATAATCTCTCCCACCTGTGCAATGTAATCTAAGTTAAGGTACCTTTTTAGGATAATAAAAACATTCTTCTCTTACAAAAGTAGTATGGTTGCAGAAGAGTTGTGGTCCTATGTCATATCCCCATAAACTGATGAGCAGGAATATCTGGAACAATAACTGAGTTGCAGAAATAATTGTGGCAAGTCTCTGTCAGCTTCAAACAAAGCCTGCCTCCAGGAGGCTTCCAGCTGGAACTTTTGGTATTCAGGATTCAGATTCATACCAGGCCCCAACTCAGATTGAGATTTAAATATATGAACAGTCACAGTCATGCTTCCATAAAATAAAGACTAGATCAATGATTATTATTTATGCTTCTAACTCTCCAAATTACTTGAACAAGATTCTGTCTTTATATGTTTTTAATTTTTTACTTATTTTTCTTGTTAGGTGTTAGACTGTCTGCTGGGAGCATGATGTATTTTGCAGGTGAACAAACTAAAGACCATTTTTATAACAGACTTGTTTCTGAAAGCAGAGAGAGGAGATTATATAATGGAATAAAGTTTACTCTCAGAGCTAAGTGGGCCATGAGGCCAGTGCTTTCCCCATGATGAATTATTTACAATAAATTCTCTTTCCACAGATTGATATAGAAATTAATGGCGATGCTGTTGATCTTCATATGAAACTGGGTGACAATGGAGAAGCTTTCTTTGTACAAGAAACAGAGGAGGAAAATGTAAGGGCTTTGTGCTTGATGACTACAATGCAGTATTAACAAAGTAATGTGTTAAAAATGCTTAATTCAATGTTGGCAATATCATAACTTCTATGAAAGCTAGATATTCTGTGACTGAATTTAACATCGTTTTCATATGCTGCCAAGATGTTTGATGGTTTATACCATTTTGCTACCAGTAATAATAATGTAATGAATTATTTTTATTAGAGCATTTTTTGAAAGATGTGTTGAATTTTTTTATTTTGTTTTAGTTTATACATTCTTATTGCCTGAAGTTATTCTCATTGCAGTGTCTTACAATAATTTTTGCCTCAAGTTCTTATAGCTGGTGCTACTGGCCTCTATTAATAAAGGTAGCCTATTTTCTGGCATATTTTTAATTTGTATTACAAATTTTTGCCCAGTTTTTTACAATTTTATTTATAAAACTTCCACCATTTAACGATAACTTCTTTGACTTGAGAATTCCTCTTGTATTATTATACAGTAATCAATTTCCCAAGAACCTATTGCAACTGGAAGCTAATGAGCCTCTAAAAAACAGGAGTAATGGTTCATTTTTAATCTGATTTTAGAAGGATATAAGAGCTATGTAATCACAGTATTGGTCAGTCCTGAGCATTGCTTTTGATCACTTTTGAATCTGTTGGCATTTTTCAGCAAGACTGAAGGAAAGTTCTAAATACAGAGTTCCAAAAGGTTTAATGAAAATAGTCAGTTCAAAGAGAGAGGAAAAAAAAATTGTGTCAGTGAAGTTAAAGATGAAGTGTTAACTTCCTGTTGTTATTAGGAATCAGTCTTTCAAGGAAATCAGCTTGATCCACTTTTGAGTTTAGAGTGCTACTTGTTTACTGTGAAGGATCAGAGGAAGCTCTCATATTGAAAGGAGTTAAATATAATATAAAGTGGAAGGAGAAAATAAGCATTAAGACCCCAAATGATAACTTGGGGTAGGGATTTATAACATTTAAGCAAAAGGAAGGTTGGGTTCTCTTTTAGCATACACCATGATTAAAATAAAAACTGAAAGCAGTTTTTTATAGATGCAGGCTGTCAGAGATTGATGGGAACTGACCAGTCTTATGACTTTCAGAAAGCCAGGGTGATAACCACTGCCTTTGTCCCCAGTGCAATGCTTTAAAGGAGCTATTGCTGTTGCACTTGCTTAGTTTTAATTTATAACAAGAGTGCCTTATCTGTGTATAATGTGTTCTTGAAAGCTGGTAGTTCATGCTGAAACTA